ACGCCGGGCTTTTCCTCGGCCCACCCAACCACAACCCCGGGGGGGGGGGGGGGGGGGGGCGTACTCTCATCTTTTGCATGCCTGAGTTGTTAGATCATTCACCACGCGTCCTCGAGAGCATTGGTCCCACAGGATCGATCACCTATGATCATCAATCTGGAAAAGTGGGGGGGGAGGGGTCTAGGCGGATGTCAGCTGTAGAATCCTGACGGTTGTGCCTCGTGTGCTTGGAAAGCAACGGCGATATCCGAGTGGAATGTAAAAGCACACGTTGGTGTGAATCACCTGCCAGCTGCGATGAGTAACTTTTTCCCATGCTCGAACAGCTCACACAGCTGACGACGTGTTTTTGACTCGAAGAGCCCAGCGAACTCCAACGAACCTAAAAGAAAAACCTGCAACATCCGCGGGGCCCCCTGGCTTCCCCAACTAATGATTGCTTCGTTCGCCCTCTCTGTAACGTGTTCTTACGTTGTCGGGAAGTTGGGTGCCGGAGGCGGCGTGCTCCGGAAAGAGTCTGGAGAAGAAAAGCCCCCTAGGGATACTCTTCTCCTTCAAGGTGAGGCAGATGTGTTGACGTCAATCCGGCACCTCCTCCTCCGAAGCGGCCAATCCAACCGGTTACTGTTCTTGGTGACTACTGTGGCAAGGCTTAAGCCTGCGCCCAAGGAAGTGGGGGTATCTGTAGAGTCATCGTCGTACGTTTCCAGTCAAGTACAACACTTGCGCAGGGGTGGGGAGATTGTTCGGGCCTTGTCAACAAGAACTAATTTCGTTGTCGCCATCAAACGTGTAAGATTAACCTTCTAGATGAGTGCCCCCAGAGGTCCCGCGTGTAGACGTACGTTGACTGGTATTTGGTATTTTACCTCTACGAGAGAAGGAGGCGGTTATCAGTGTGAATCGTAAATGTCGGGGGCGTTCCAGAGGGGTTCCGCACACAAGCGAGCGTGTGCCGCATACTCAGCCGACAAAACTGCGAGAGGTGTTAGATTGGTTCCACACACTGAGGAGAACAAGGTATTAGAAAAAGAAAAAGCCAGACAGGACGAAAGAAGGTACGCGCAGGGATATTAATCGTAGCTAGAGGAAGTTACGATCCGCGGTCATGTGAGTCGAAAAACAGCATGCGAGAAACCTTGCTGCTGTCGCCTAGCTACGTTTAATATCCCTGCGCGTACCTTATTTCGTCCTGTCTGGCTTTTTCTTTTCTGCTACATCGTCTCAGTTTCCTCTCTGCTACTTCATTTTACCCTCTTGTGGTCGTCATTTTTGACCGCTCTAACGTCTGTTACCAAGAACTTAGCAACTGAGAACTTGATCCCAAAACTATCCAACATCCAAGAACTTGGCCATAAAGAACAGGTGCTCAGTCATGAAGGCTACACTAACACCTACATAGTCACACTAAAACCTATATAGTCGCCATACGGGGGTACAGTTGCCCATAGACAAAACAAGAAACGAGCCTTGGCCAAAATGAAAGGTTCTCAAGCGTTTCTGTACTAGCGTTTCTGTACTACTGCTGTGAAGCAACATGCGCTCGTTCTCCGTTCTTTCGTTGTTCTCCTTCTGGTTTTTTCACTTCGGCTGTTCGTCGTACACTCTAGTAGAGTCTCCTCGTGGTGCGTAGCCGTGATGCCCCCCCCAGCTTGTCACGGCCTGTCTCTGCTTGCCCTTTCCGACGTGTTTGTTCACGAATCGTCCCGACGTTGCTTTGTGGCCTTCGAGCAATCGTTATGCGCGAAGGTCTTGCGTGCTTTCTTGTTGGTAGGTATTTGTTGGGCACAGGATGCTGCTGCTTGCGTGCACGCTGGTACAAGTAAAATCTGTTGGTACAATCCTTGTTGGCTCGTGTCGCTCCTTTGTTCAAGGCGTCTCGAGCGAGCTTTGAAGTCGGCACCATCGACCTGGTAGTGTGCGGAGCAGAGTGGAGCAGGGAGAGGAAGGCGACGAGAGAAGAGAGCCAGGCCCTGGGGAGCGTTCTCAAGACGTGTCGTCAGGTAAAAATAAATCTTTCGTCGGGGTGTTGGAAAACGCGTTCTTTGCTCGTCTCGTCGAAACACTACCGTAAATGTCGGAGAGACGGCACCCCCGTGTTGGAGTTTTTTTTTAACGTATTTCTCGACAGCCAGGGGGGTACCACTGCCGAAAAGTGTAGTTTTGGAAACATCTCGACGAGGGCTTTCCTGAGAGGTATCGGTAGGTGTTCGCACCCTCCTATTAATAGTCGCGGAGAAATACGCTATAAACAAACGCTAACACGGGGGTGCCATCTCTCCGACTCTTACGGCATTTCTTGACAATCTCTAGGATTGAAAATAGACCTATAGACGGATTTCCTACGAGCTGAGGGCTCACGAGATCGCAGGAAATGCAATCCTGATGCTCTCGTGAGCTTAGAGCCCTATTTTCGCGGTTTCTCCGCCCATAGACCTCGCCTCGAAGCGAGACTTGCACCTACCGACAGCCCTGGGTTGCGAGGGCTCTCCCGGCGTGCCGCGCGCTCTCGGGGCGGACTGCGTGCAGCACTAGCGCGGGCAGAAAGTCGCGTCTCCGACATCTACCATGGATCCACCAATCACGCCCTGATTTCTTGACAGTGCAGGCCGTTCGTACATTCGGCAAGCGGCTGACTGACGTGGTGGGTGTGCGCTGGCTACACGCTACACACCCTTATTACCACACACGCCAAACAAGCCACCAAGTCTCCGCATGACATGAGACAAAGTACTCTACTGCTGTGGTGCGTCTCCCTTTCGATACCGGCGAAAAGCGGGGGGGGCTAGCGACCGGTGTCGTGCGCACAGCTGTCTGAAAAACTACACCAGCCCGAGAAAAAAAAAAAACATGAAATACGTTGTTGTTCCTCCGTTTCATGGAGAAAGTACTTTTGCTTACTATTTACACACAACGTGCTGGAAAAACTATGAGTTGTGCTGCTTTTCCTCGCCTCCCGTACTCCACCAACCCCGATCCTCACCACCGACGGCTGTACATCAGATCACATACATACGAAGACCACACACCCGAAAGGGAGCGAAGTTTATTCAGCTACATACAACGTCTCGCTGAGGGGGTGGGTAGCACATGGGAGAGGGGAAGAGAGCAGAGAGAAAAAAAGCTGTTTGCTTGTCGTGTGTATCTTTCTAAAGTTTTGTTATTCGACACACACTCACTCACTCCCCACCCCCCCCCGTAACCCCTCGTGTCTTACGAATAGTAGAGTACTTTAGGGGTCGCTCCTCTGTTGCTTCTTATTGACGCGTTTCTTCTTTTGTGTGGTCCAGGTTGAGCTACTTATTATTATAATATTACGTTGCTTAATCCTATTTTCCTATGCTTTTTCGTGGAAAGTGAGCCTTTGTTTCTTAAAAACAAATATCTTACTCCAAGTAAATAAATACTCTCTTCCTCCGGCTGTCGCGTAACATATGAATGTATTCATTGTGCGTCTCTGCTCTTCGAACAAACAATCGACTCGTTTCCTCTTCGCAGCATTTCTTCTTCGCATCTCTCATTTCAAATCTCCACCCGCACACGCTTGCCATCGCCATTGAACCTACGAGCGCAGCGGCGACCGCGAAGCGGTACGCCGCGAAGTCGTCCTTGTATGCAGGTACAAATTAGACACGAGAACTGCTGTGTATTGTGCTCATCTTGGGGAAATAAAACTCCTTGCCAAATGCACACGAAACGAAAAACAACTCGCACGTTTATTTCCGATCCATGTCTCATTCGAGAAGAGAAAGAGGCACTCCTGGAGATAGTTCCGTACCGTGGTAGGTACCGTACCATATGCATTTCGGTTGCATCATGATATACCACACCCGCTAGACCACCTTCTGCTGCTGCTGTCGTCGTAAGAGACGCAAGCAAAAAAAAAAAAGTAACGTGGTCTGCAGGAAAAGCAATCAATCACGGTGCCGAAGATGGCGGCGTTGGAACGGTCCCGTCCAGAGCTTTGCGAAAACGCCTTTTTTTTAATTTTTTCTGAATATGACCGAACGAATCCATCTCTATCTAAGATAGCATGTCTATCTAAGACAGGAGTCGAAGAAGAGTAGCAATGAGTTCATAGCTTCAGAGAAAGCTACCTGTATTTCCACGGTTTCCGGAGCAGCACACAGCGATATCTCCTGTGTGGGTAACAGGCTCTCAACAAGCCTTCTCGTGGTCGTGGAGGAATAGGAATCGACCTGTGAAAATCGGTCCAGGGGGTGTGGTATCTTTTGCAACAACACAACGGATGACATTGATTCGTTTCCTGCATCCACCGATTCGATGTGCCGTTGCGCTGCTGCCCCTGCCACAATCCCGTACCATCTCGGCACCTGTCCATCCCATGTGCCGGTTCTCACCCTGGAAGGATTAGACAGCTCATGACTAGTCGGGTTTTTTTTTCCACTCCAAGCGCGCCTTCCATGCGGCTCGCCGGAATACCTCACGGCGCTTCGCGCTTGGTGATGTGAGAGCCTGGTCCGGTGATGACCCGGCGTGCTCCGTCCCGGCTTTGTAGGGACGCGAGGTCAATGGTCAAATCGACTACGGCATGCACGACTATGAGTACACCCCCAAATATTTTACTGCTGTCGCTCTAAGTGATTGATAACCGATCGGAGCTCACACGAATCGGCGATGCCGCCCGTGTCACGTGCTGACACGTCGATATCTCCCCCCCCCCCCCGCGCGCTTGTTTGCTCCGTCCGCTTTCTGTTGTGTGTTTTCTCGTTCGACTTTAGTCCCTCACCACGGTGCGGGAAGCGCTGGTGGGTCTGCTGACCACGCTGCTCAAAGCCAAGCAGGCCAGAGAACAGGTTCTGCAATGGGTTGGTGAAGTGGCCAATCACAACAGGTGGGTGGAGGCTGCTGTACTGGGCGGGATATTGTCTCGATATGTTAGAGTGGCGGCTGCTGGGCAGGATTTTTCTCTGTGTACGAGAGCGGCAGCAGTAGAGAGGGGATGAGAGTTGGAATAGTGTTGGCGGTCGCGAAACACCTGACTTCAAACGTAGGTGCCTGGTACGCGGTCTTGTAGTAGCAGCAGCAGCAGCAGCAGCAGCAGCAGTAACAGTAGGAGTAGTGGTAGTGGTAGTGGTAGTTGTTGTTGTTGTTGTTGTTGTTGTTGTTGCTGCTGCTGCTGCTGTTGAACGGCACCTAAACAAGCGGGCAACCACCAGCGAAAACACAGAGCCTACCGTATGCCACGCAAGATACCACACCCTCATGGACAGGTTTTCGTGGCTCGATTTGTACAGTGAGGGTAACAGTACTGACAGGCACGATGCTTGGACAGGTTTCGATGATACATTTCCAATGCCCCTATTTCGGCTTTTTTTGGCTCTCTTTCGCTGTAAACTTGTCGAGTCTTGATTAATCTGTCTAGGGGGTGTAGTGTCTTCCGTGGCATTGGTGGGCTTCTCATATCATTCAGAGAAAAAACAGCTATAAACAGCCAATGGCAACGATAGCTCGGTGTTCGTTGGCCTACCTCCCTCTCCTTACCAACCTGTGACAGGCCAGTGGTAGGTTTCTTATCGACTGACGGCTGCCCTCTTTTTTTTTTCGTTCATGACGGTTTTTGACGCCCGCCGTCTTTCATTACCGGGTTTTCCGCCGCAGGGGCCGAGAGCGCGACGGCTTCCACCAAGGGTTTGAGGTTCTACCGGTGAGTTTGTGGTTATTGTCGTCGGCTGTTGTTTGCCATGTTGTTGAGGTACGTTTTTTTTTTTTTGGTAAACAATGTTTTCAATACCCGCCGTTCTGTGTCGCGTTCATCACGCCCTCCCCTGGGTACATTTGCTTCGATCTTGCTCGCCGGAAAATGAAATTGTTGTTGGAGTTGGTTATCACGGCGTACTGTTTGTCTTCGCTATCCCCCCCCCCTGACGATATCTCGCTCCCACCCGCCGCTCCCCCCTCCCCTCACCACCCAGTTGAGCTCTGAGGGTATGCTGGGCAACGTGCTGTGGGCCCTCCTGCGGCTTTGCGAACCGTTCCTCACGGCAGGAGACCCGAAGGCGGAGGCCCTGGCGGATAAGACGGACCTCGACTACTTCAGGGGGAGCGATAGGTGAGACGATTGCAACGCAAAGAGAGGGAGGGGG